CCCTCAGACTGGGGTTTGTTGACCCTCGATGTGACTAATTCTTCTCCTTCACCTAAATAACGTCACATTATAAAGTGATACGGATCTAAAATTAATCTTGGAGGCGTTTTTTTAAAGCGCCGGGGCCTGTCTCTGTGTTAAACAAACCAGACTGAATGACTCACCGTGACCAGGCCTGTCAGGACCGATCTGTCAGTGACCGAAAACTGAAATCTGGTTTTGGGGGTCGGTGTTTATCGTGTGCACTTTCTCTTTTCCTTTATTTTTTATCTATATATTCAGATTCAAGCTGTAAAATGTTGAATTAATAACTTCTGTGACTCATTACAGATGCAAACTAAAGCACTAAACAGTTTGATTCTGCTGTTTGTTTATTACAGATCAGGATTTTTTATTTTTTATTTTGTACATTTAGAACAGTTTTTATGGTTTAAATCTGCTCTGGGGTTTTGTGTTGTTTATTTCCAGTGGTGTGGAACGTTAAAAGTTGTTGTCGTGACAGGCCTCAGTGAGTCTGGACACACTGAACCTGGAATATTCCACGGAAAACTCGTCTCTGCCCGTGTGTCCTGGAGTTTCACGGTTTTAGATTTCTTTAAAAAGTCCGTTTTACGACATTTTAAGTCTTTTTTTTTTTTTTTTTTTTCGTTTCCTGGTCACAGACAGACCTGGAGTTGTGTTCTGTTTCCTCCTTGTTTAACACACAAACACACCTGCACATTCAGGCTGTAGGAGTTTTTCTCTCAAACAGAAAACACTCTGTTCCGCTTCGTGATGTCACACGGTTATACAGGAAGTGCTCCATTGTGTTTCCAAACTCCACACACCTTCACTAGAATCATTTGGATCATTTCAGCCCTGGAATTGTCTCCTGAACAAAACGGTACTTGAAAAAACCTACACAGCAAAAACTGGAGGGTTAAAATGTCAGAGTAAAATATTTCAGTGTTGTTTTTAACCTAAAAAAAAAGTGTTATTTTAACTATTTGAATGTTAAATGGGGGTTGGAGTTGGGGTTATTTGCCAGAGTTGATATGACTAAAGTTAATTCAGCTTCCTCTAGTGTTAATTCAACTTCTCTTAGTGTTAATTTGTCTCCTCCCACCACTTCAAACTCCCGCCAGAGTAGAACCAGTTTGAACCAGTTTTGTTCATAATTTCATCTTAAATGAACTCAAAGTGTCAAAATAAAACTCCTCTGTGTTGTTTAGTTAAATCAGGATAACTCTACAAAGTGTTATCTGTTTACTCTCTAAAATTTCATATTAGGGATGTATCAATAACCAAATCTCGATATTTACGATATTTATTGCAATATTTTGGAGAGGTTGATATAACTGTAGATAGGACATATTTTGTGTGAATTACCATCAGAATATCAAGAATTTAAGTAAAAAACATATTTCTTCATGTTGTCTGCGCTGAAATGAATCATGGGAAATGTAGTTTCTGATGTTTATTAGCCGTTCCTACTAAAAAACAATGCATTTAAGCGAAGGAACTTACAATTCGATATTATTGTGAGACTTCTGACGATACGATATCATGATATTTCAGTTCTTGTTACATCCCGTTTTAATCTAACTCTTGATTTTGGGTTAAACAGGAACTTTGGTCCAGTGTTACTTGATTAACATTTCCAAAAAAAAATGTTTAATTAACTCTAAAACAGATTGGACTCATATAAACACTCAGAAAATGTTACAAATGATTGAGAGTCAATTTTAACACTCCACGTTTTGCTGTGTAGCTTAACAACATTAGAACATGACTTAAAACTCATGTAAGTCAATTTTACGTAATGGATATTTAAGCTAATATTAGCGATAATATGCGTTTTTTTTAAGTATGCCACTTTAAATCCCACCAAAATAAACACAAGTCGTCTAGTTTGGAGCTCTGTCCCTGTTAAATGTTAAAATGTTAAAACTGATTCTAAGAGTCAATTTTAACACTCCACTTTTAGCTAGTGTAGCTCTATGTGACATCACAAGGTGGAACTGAGCGTTTTGAGCTTTGGAGATGTAGACAGACTAATAAAGAGCTACTTTAAACCTCACAAAAACTCACAAAAGTCAATTTTACGTAATATACCGTACGATCTTTAAGCTAATATTAGCGAAAATCTGTGTTTTTTTAAAAGTATGCCACTTTAAATCCCACCAAAATAAACACAAGTTATCCATGTTCTTTCTCTAGTTTGGAGCTCTGTCCCTGTTAAAATGTTAACGTTAAAACTGATTCTGAGAGTCAATTTTAACACTCCACTTTTAGCTAGTGTAGCTAAGCTTTTGAGCTTTGGAGATGCAGACAGAGTCAAACATGTGTGAATGAAACAAAACACAACTCTAGGTTTGTTTTTGAGATTTTAACAACTTTAGAACACGATTTAAACTTCACGAGAGAACATTTTACGTAATGTACCGTACGATCTTTAAGCTAATATTAGCCAAAATCTGCGTTTTTTTAAGTATGCCACTTTAAATCTCACCAAAAAACACAAGACGTCCATGTTCTTTCTCTAGTTTGTAGTTTATGTCCCTGTCCGTTAAAACGTTAAGATGTTAATGTTAAAACTGATTCTGAGAGTCAATTTTAACACTACGGTTTGTTGTGTAGCTCTACGTGACATCACAAGGTGGAACCGAGCGTTTTGAGCTTTGGAGGTGTAGACAGAGTAACTCAAACATGTGTGAATGAAACAAAACACAACTCCAGGTCTTGTTTTTCTGATTTAACAACATTAGAACGCGATTTAAAGCTCACTAAAGTCAATTTTACGTAATGTACCGTACGATCTTTAAGCTAATATTAGCTCTGCGTTTCCTGAAGTATGTCACTTTAAATCCCACCAAAATAAACACAAGTCGTCCATGTTCTTTCTCCAGTTTGCGGTTCGTGCACCTGTCCCCGGGCCCTGCACCTGTCCCCCGGGCCCTGCACCTGCCGCACGCCCCTCCCTCCGACCTGACGCACGGGGGCAGGGGAACCGCACTCACCCTTGAACAGGTAGTCGTAGTCCTCGTCTCTGCCCGTCATAATGCGCCGTTGCCCCGCAAAAAAGTGCACCGCAAAAAAAACCCCAAAAACACGTCCACGTCACGTCCACGACACGTCCACGACACGTCAAACACACACGGGCCTCTCCGACATCTCAAACCCGCTCGCCGAGCTTCGTCCGCGGCACGTCTCCGTCTCCGTGTCCGTGTCCGTCGCCCCGCACTGGTCCCGCCCCGCCGCATTGTCCCTACTGGTCAATGGCAGCGCGACACCTGGACCGGCGCGCGCTCCCATTGGCCCGCGCCGCTGCCACTCGTGACGTCAGCGCGCCGGGCGAACAGGTGATGTGGCTCCTGCGTTTAATATGGCGATGTAAATAAAATATGGCGACCGCAATCTGTGTCCGCGCTGCGTTCGAGGGTGACGAGGCAAAAACGACACGGGACACGAGTTTTATTTTAATATTATTTTAATTTATATTTATTATTTATGGTTTGTGTCAAAGAAAATATGAAATTGTTGCACCTGTAAAACGTTATGTTATTTATTTAATTTATTTTTTTGTTATTTTTTAATACATAAATGTGTTTAATGTTGTCGTTAAAGGGACGGAATGAATATTAGATTTAGATTTAGACTTTTATTGATCCGTAAGTGAAATTATTTGGACACAAGAGCTCACAAATCACAAAATAATACAATAACAAAGCTGACCTCAAGTCCAAGTCAAGTCCCAAGTCGTCTGCTTTGAGCTTCAAGTCATTTCAAGTCTTTAAACCAAAATGTAGCTTAGATTTTTTGCAATTTATATAAATTTTAAACTAAATTGTGCCTCGCAAAGGGATTTCTGAATTATACCTTTGCACTTGTAGTGGACAAAAAAGAAAAAAATAAGTCAAAAAAGATGTAAACAAAGGCTCAAATCATTAACAAAAAGCGGAGCCAAATTGAGGTAACTGAAATCAAACTGAACAGAACAAAACTAAGTTATAATTAAATATATGAGGAGCCACTAAAACTGAACTGAATTACACTAAATAATTAACTAAAACTACTCACTTAATCAAAGTAACAAGAAGGAAAATAATAAATATAATACAGAAAATAAGTGATAATAAAGTGACCTTAAATAAAGTAAACAAACTAAATAATGCTCCCCATGTTTGTTCGACGTGGATGATCTCTGTCCGTGTGACCACTCGAACAAGAAGAAGAACAAGTCCTGGTTTAGACCTGGTTTAGTCCTGCTTTAGACCTGGTTTAGACCTGATTTAGATCTGATTTAGTCCTGGTTTAGTCCTGGTTTAGTTCTGGTTTAGTCCTGGTTTAGTTCTGGTTTAGACCTGGCTAGGTTGGACTTGTTTTAGATCTGGTTTAGTTTAGTTGTGGTTTAGACCTAATTTAGACCTGGTTTGGACTTGATTTATAGTCCTGGTTTAGTTTAGCTCTGGTTTAGTTCTGGTTTAAACTTGGTTTAGACTTGGTTTAAACCTGGTTTAGTCCTAGGTTGGACTTGGTTTAGATCTGGTTTATTTTAGTTCCAGTTTAGACCTGATTTAGTCCTAGCTTAGACCTGGTTTAGACCTGGTTTAGTCCTGGACCACTAGGGGATTAACAGACATAACGCATGGGATTAGAAAAGAAAGTTCGACCATTTAATGTGCAAATTTAATTATATTTTCTAAAGAAAGAGTTTTAAAAAAAAATTATTATCGTGGTATCAGTATCGAGTATCTATTCCTATCTATCTATTCCTCAGTATCGAAACATCAGTAAATATGAAATTAGAGCCTCAGATGTGAATCAAATCCGTACATTTTATTGTTAACATAGAAAACACTCTTATTATTCTTATTTACACACGTCACACAGAAACTCCAACGCCGCCGCCGCCGCCGCCGCCGCCGCGTCCTCCTCCAGCAGCGCACTCATCTGTCTCTCTCATCTGACGGCGGAGGCGTATTGGTCCCAAACACGAGGTCACGTTCACGACGCTGCCACCTGCGTTAAAGGCTCCTCCAGGTACTGCACCAGCGCCTCCGCCTGGACACACACGGAACAACACCACACACAGAGTTACGACGAGATCAGACACACGAAAACTCCTCAACGTATAAAGAATGACAAACAATAAAATGGAAAAAGAGTTTGTTATTTCATTATTCCATATTAGTGTAAAAAAAAAAAAAAAAAAACTGATTTCGAGCTCTATTTTCAATGGTAAAGGAGAAAATTCAGTTTGTCGACCGGACAGAAGTTTATTTGGTTGAAAACGTTTCTCAGTTCGTCCAAGCTGCTTCTTCAGTTCTGGTCAGACTCTGGTGACACTTCCTTAAATCTGTCTGAAGAAGGAGCTAAATAACTACTGTGCTTTTTTGTTTTAATTTCAAAAATTTATAAAAAAAAAAATATATATATATATATATATATATATATATATATATATATATATATATTTTATTTTTTTATTGGTTTTATTTATTTTTTATATGTATTTTATTGATTTTTATTTTTTTTATTTATTTTTTTTTATGTATTTTATTGGTTTTAATTTTTTTATTCTATGATTTTGCTCTTATTTTATTTAACTGGTTTTATTATTTTAAGACTAGTGTGATTATTTTAGTTGTTTATTTTATCATTTTATTATTGTTGTTATTATTATATATTTGTGCAGCACTTTGGAAACTGTTTGTGAAATATGCAACAGAAATAAAATGGATTGGACTGGAACTACACTGAAACTACTCTGGAATGCTCCTACTTGTTTGCAGTTTGTGTTTGTAGCTCAGCCTGTTCATCTGCACTGAGTCTGGGGTTTTATTAACAGAATCATTCAGGTCATAATGAAACTTCCACACCTCTGGTCCTGACCTGACTACACCTGCTGTTCTCTTATTTATTTTGATTTAAGTTTGAGAATGGAGTTGTAAATAATAAACTAATAAACTCTTGTCCAGTTCAAAAATGAATTTCCTACCTGGACGACCGAGGGATTTCACACACTCTATTTCACACACCAATCAAAAAACTGTCTCGGTGCCTATTTTAACTTTGACATTTTATTCTCTCAAGTTTATTTGCCCCGGAAGTTCTGTTGCTGCAGCCTAGAGTGTATTTTAAAGTTTTTGGATGCATCAGTCTTCAGCATTCATGAACTATTTTCATATTTTGCGTGAACGTGAACTGAACTCTCTGTATCTCTGCCTGATGAACGAACTGTGAGTCTGTGAACGACACGAGCTTCTGTTTACCTTCGTTCTTTAGGAGTGTCAGATTTCTATAGTGTTCCAGGTGAAAACTCGGCTAAACTCACTGTAAAGAGCAGCGATATTTAGAGGAAAAACATTCAATCTGGCAACAACACGAGCCCCCAGCGTCGCTGAAACAAAACACCTGACGCTCCTGCAGAAAGAGTCTCTGTTCTGTCTGGATCAGGTCACTGTCTTGGAGGATTTCAACATTTCAGACTCTCTCAGGGGGCGGGGACAGGTGTGTATCTCTCAGGGGGCGGGGACAGGTGTGTATCTCTCAGGGGGCGGGGACAGGTGTGTATCTCTCAGGGGGCGGGGACAGGTGTGTATCTCTCAGGGGGCGGGGACAGGTGTGTATCTCTCAGGGGCGGGACAGGTGTGTATCTCTCAGGGGCGGGGACAAGTGTGTGTATCTCTCAGGGGGCGGGACAGGTGTGTATCTCTCAGGGGGCGGGGACAGGTGTGTATCTCTCAGGGGGCGGGGACAGGTGTGTATCTCTCAGGGGGCGGGGACAGGTGTGTATCTCTCAGAGGGCGGGGACAGGTGTGTATCTCTCAGGGGGCGGGGACAGGTGTGTATCTCTCAGGGGCGGGGACAGGTGTGTATCTCTCAGGGGGCGGGGAAAGGTGTGTCGCTCTCGGGGGCGGGGACAGGTGTGACTCTTCGGGGGCGGGGACAGGTGTGTCTCTCTCGGGGGCGGGGACAGGTGTGTCTCTCTTGGGGGCAGGGACAGGTGTGACTCTCGGGGGCGGGGATAGGTGTGTCTCTAACGACATTTTTATTATCGTTCGTGTGTGAATTGCCTCTACGATAAATTCTGGAGCAGTTTTCACGTCTGTTTAGTGACTGTTTAAAAAGAGTTTGAGGAAATGTTTCATATTTCATGATGATGTTTGATAATCGTTCGATTGTGGATGTTTCATTGTGTTTTAATCCGTGTTTGAATCAAATGAATTTAATCCAAGGTGTTTAAAAGTCATTTTTAATTTTTTTATTATTTTTTTAATGCACAGCGATAATGTTGATTTTTTTTTTATGTATTCAGAAGGTGGAGACTTTAATAATTCACCCTTTTGGGTTTTTTGCGTCTTCTGGCACCTGCTTTTTATATAGCGTGTTTTTTTTATTTTAATTGTCATGTTGTACGTCCAAAATAAATAAATAAATAAATAAAAGACAGTGGAGCTTTCTGCACTCTTTCTCCACTCTGCTGATAAACAAATAATCAATTTTATTTGGACTTTGGTGACGATATTGAAAAATAATCACTCCCAGCAACATATTAAAAAACAAACAATGAACTAGAAACTACGGACGAACTATTAACTATAAACAATTATGAAGTATGATCGAACGAATTATTTTGAAATTTGTGAACTGAACTTTGAACTAGTTGATGTAGAAAATGAACTTTCCCAACTCTGGACATGACGACACTTAATAAGCCTAGAATAAATATATGGAGATAAAGCAAAAAGTAAAAAAAAAAAAATAAAAATGTTACTATTCTTAACCGAGCAGACTGAGGGTTTGTTCCGAGGACAGACTGTACCTTTGCCTTGAGCATCCCGAAGCCCACCGTCTCTTTGGCGTACATGCACAGCAGAAGGTTGGCCACCTGCGTGATGGCCACTCTGCCCTCCTGTCCACCACAAGAACGAACAAACAACAACAGACAAGTGTCCAGATTAAACAATCACATCGTACATTATCCTGAAAGCAAAGTTATAAGACAAAAATATTCACAAACAATTTCTTTTCAGCCTCAGAACTTAAATTTCAATAATAAACATGACATTACATCACCAAATATCAAATATAAATGTATTTATTTGGTTATTTAGCTGTTAAAATTTATGTTTGGGTTTTCAGTGACTCAAATGTCTGTGATTATAATCATAATTTCTAATTTCTTAAAACAAAACGAGCTCAAATGTGCTGAAGCTTAGAAATGGTGACATCTAGTGGTCATGTTCTAGTACTACAAAATGCACAGAGGTTTAACTTTGACACTTTCCAATAAAATGGTAAAAAAAAACAAAAAAATACCCAACAACAACTTGTATTTGTGTGTGTATTTGATTACGACTGCAATAATATGAATAAAGTTTAATATTAAATAAAGTAAGGACATTTTACTGTTAACATTTTAAGTTAAAAGGCCCATATTTTCTGATCTGTTCTGATGTCGTTTCAGACCTGGAGTTGTGTTTTTTTTAAAGCAACAAAGCAAGTTAATGGGTTCAGTCACCGATAAAAAAGATTACATTTAAGATCTGGATATTTCATGACAAAGTATTAAATGTTATTAAAAATGGAAAAGCCGGCTGAGAGTGTGACATCATCACATTCAACACTCTGAAAACTGCCAGTTTACCTGTTAAAAACTCAACTGTCTGTGATTCTGTGTTAGAATTTCTCATTTCTCAAAACAAAACGAGCCCAAATTTGCTGAAGCGTAGAAATGGTGACATCTAGTGGTCATGTTTTAATACTACAACATGCAGGTTTGACTTTGAATGACACTTTCCAATAAAATGGTAAAAAAACAAAACAAAAAAACACCCAAAAACTTGTACTTGTGTGTGTATTTGATTACAAATACAACAACAACAATAATATTAAATTAAAAAAGGGAATTTTACTGTTAAGGTTTTAGGTTTTCATTTAAAAGGCCCATATTTTCTGATCTGTTCTAATGTTTCCTCATCGTTCTAGACTCTGAAAATCGCCAATTTACCTGTTTAAAACTCAAAAAACTCAAATGTCTGTGATGCTGTGTTAGAATTTCTCATTTCTTAAAACAAAACAAGCTCAAATTTGCTGAAGCGTAGAAATGGTGACATCTAGTGGTCATGTTCTAGTACTACAACATGCACAGACGAACTTCTAATGAAGGAGTGAACAATTATTTTTTTCCATGGGGCCACATGAGAAACAGAAAATATTGTGGAGGCCAAAAGGCTCAACTCAATTTTGCATAATATTAAATGAATTTCTTTATAAAAATCAGTAAATCTTATTGTTTTGACTGGAAAGAGTTTATGTCAGAGGTCAGGACATATGAGGCCCTTTAATCTTTTTAACCCGTCCCGCCGAACATGAACAATAATAATAATAATTTTCAGTGTTTTAAAAGTCATTTCAATAAATAGTAAATATCTTGGGACTTGAAAGACAGAGATTTTGTTGTAATGCTCAGGATGCTAAAAAAGTTTTATTGTATTTTTGTAATCTTATTGTACATTTGTGTCATTTTTGATGTGTAACTTTTAAGTGTATTTTCTTTTACGATGTCTTTTTAACATTTGGCAAAGGGACGACCGATGCAAACGAGCTCTTATCAGCAAACTCGGGCACATTTACATTGTTTTGATGTTGACTAATGTGCATTGTCCCTTTTTAAATAAATAAATAAAATGATTTTCAGTTATGGGATATTTTTTTTCTCTTTTGAGGTGGATCACCAAAAAACTCCATCCGTTTGCTCCTGGTCTTGTTTTTCCGTCAAATTTTAGACCCACGAGACAAAAAGTTTGCCCACCCACGGATTATGTTCGGACTAAGAAATGAAAGAGTGAGGAGCCAAACTTTGTCATTGTCATTAATTATTCAGGCATGAGGTCAAATGATAAATTGTGTTTATTTTGTCGTTCCAAATGATCTTAAATGGTCCAGTCAGAGTCGAGCAAAGGGCCGAATGTGGAGCTGGACAACGCCCAGGTCTGTACTAGTATGAGATATGATTACCAATAAAATAGAAAAAAAATGTATTTGTCTGTGTTTGATTATGAATGAATGTGTGTCATCTAAAATAATATGAATAAAACCTAATATTAAATAAAATTAATTGAATTTTACTGTTAACGTTTTAGGTTTTCTTCTTTTTTGTTTCCTCGTCACACACAGACCTGCAGTTGTGTTTTTGTTTCATTCACACGTTTAAAACACAAACCTGCACATTTAGGCTGAGTTCTTTTTTCAAAAAGAAGTGCTCCACTGTGTTTTTAAACTCCACACATCTTCACTAGAATCATCTGGATCATTTCAGCCGATCTCTACTGAACTAAGTCTACGTTCAGTCTGCAGGTTTAACGCTCAATTCGGATTTTTTTGTGAAATCCGATGTTTTTTCGAGGTCGTTCACATTTCCAGTTAAATGTGACTTGTATGTGACTCCAGTGTGAACATTAAACGGTCCAAAAGTGTCCCACATGTGACACTGGAGACACGACGACGTCAACCGCAGCGAGCGTCTCTGTGTTTACACAAGTTGAACAAACATGGACGCAGCATCGAGCACCTGGAGATTTTAAAGTTCCTCTCGTACCGGAGCCACAACATGAACAACTGACTTGTTTTAAGGAGGAGATTGAGAAGGAGAAGGACCAGGTTTTTGGTGGTGGTGTTTTGTGTGGGACAGAGATTTTCAATTTTCGTCTGACGAGAAGAACGTTTGTGTACGTTTGTGTCTTGTTGATGACGTGTAGGTGGATGAATGTGACCTGACCGTTCACACTGAAGTCACATGTTAAAGATCAGATATGGATCAGTTTCAGGAGCACAGATCCAAGTGTCCTGGGTCACATGTTGGAAAAAATCGGATCTGTGTGGTTCAGACTGACATTAAAAGATCAGATACAGGAACATAGGGGCCAAAAAATCGGATTTGGGTCACTTCAGGCTGCAGTGTGAACAGAGCCTAAAGGTAAAAGGAACTCGAAATCTATCTTTTCATGACATCACAAGGTGGAACAGAGCGTTTTGAACTTTGGAAATGTAGACAGACGAATAATAAAGAGTTACTCAAACATGTGAATGAAACAAACACAACTCCAGCTCGGTTTTTGAGAAGGAAACATTAGAACATGTTTTAAAGTCTGTGTGATGTTGAACCCGTCAGACTCTCACCATACAGTCCATGAGGATGAACTTGAGCTTGTCCTCGTTGAACGCCTGGTGCCCGTTCTTGTCGTACGCCGCCCAGATGTTGCTGGCGATGGCGGCGGTGACTCTGGCGTCCGTGTCCCCGTACCCCGAGTACGCCAACAGAGAACCCTCGCTGTTCAGGAGCCTAAACACACACACAGAGTAAAAACAGTCATGAACAGACACAGTTAGTTAGGCCCATTAATACTCTGCAGCTGAAGATAACTGGAAGCTCTGCTGTGTCTGCAGCTCTGTCACTCAAGTTAGATCCCTCTGCCCCCCCCACTTGAACTGGTCCTTAGAGACAATCCTCAAAAGTTGTCAAGCCCTATTTTTTTAAAACTACTTTTGGCAAATAATAACACGTCTGCATCATGCATAGGACATATGATATATTTCAAATTGATTCGATACAGTTCGATAAAAAATAAAGTCTAAATCATGCCTGTGATACTATAAGTTTTTGTTAAATCACTTCTTGTGCAAAGTTCATATGAAACACAAACATTTAATCCTCAAAACAGTGAAAATGTCAAATGTGTCGCATAAATGAGCGTCCTTCCGCTAAACAAGCAAAAAAAACTGTAGCGTTGTGACAATATAATGCAGTAAAACATACCCAAAAATACTCTTGGCGATATATCGATACTGTATCATCATATTAAATGATACGATATATCGATATTTTTGCACACCCCGTCAGAATCTCAAGAATTCAAATAAAAAACACATTTCTTCATGTTTTCTGCGCTGAAATGAATCATGGGAAATGTAGTTCCCGATGTTTATTAGCTGTTCCTACTAAAATACATTACATTTAAGCAAAGGAACTATTATTACTATTATTGTGAGACTTCTAACGATACGATACCACGATATTTTGGTTATTGTTACATCAATAGTGCGAATATACAGATCGACGAACAAAACATCATCTGTATTTTGTCTGTGAGGAGGACACGACATTAAGAACTTTTTCAAGGACGTTAATCGTTTTTTCTTCCATAAAACTGCACGAATTTAAATATTACAAGGTCAGATAAACAAAAGACCTTTTATGAGCGGTTGGAGCACAAATTACAGCGTTATAAAGTGTTAAATATGATGTTATTGTCGTAGTTAAACTCACAACGTGCTCTGGACCCCGTTGGTGTTGGCTTGGCTCAGGACTTGGGTCAGAGCCTTCGGTCGTAACATTTCGGCCGCGACAAAAACCAAAAAAAACCTCCGAGTCCCGAGAAAAAACAAACAGCTTGCAAAAGTCTGTAGCGGTGTCAGCTGACCGCCGCTGTTTACTTCCTCTTCCAGGTCTGCGATCACGTGCTCTCCGGTGACGTCACGGCGTGGTTTCCGTTCTCTGCTCCTTCTCTTTTATTATATATGTATAAAAAAAAAAAAATCCTTCTCTTTTATCGGTTATGTTTCTGTAATAATAATAATAATAATAATAAAATAATAATAATAATAATGATAAAACTTCTCTTTTATCCGTATACTGTATCTACCTTTGTTGTTTTGTCTTGTTCTTATGTTTCTATAATAATTTTTTTTTAAATGGTGTGAAAAAAAAAAAAAAATCCTTATCTTTTATCAGTTATGTTTCTGTAATTATAAATGAATAAATAAGTAAATAATAATACTAATAATACTACTACTAATAATAACAATAACTTTTCTTTTATCCGTATACTGTATCTACCTTTGTTGTTTTGTCTTATGTTTCTGTAATAATAATAATAAAAAAATGGGGGGGGGGAAAAAAAAAAAATCCTTTTTTATCCTCAGAGCTTTGAACTGTTGTGACCCTTTCTTTTTTTTTTTTTAGTAAACCTGTGTTTAGATAAGATTACACAAAGAGTTTTCTTAAGTTTAGAGCAGGTGTGCAAATGTAAATATTCCACACTGAATGATTTCTCGACATGAAAATATAATATAATAAAAATATGTTTGTTTGTTTGTTTTTGCCTCATCAGGTCCAATAGATAGATTTTAATTAACCCACTTGTTGTTCTGTTGTAGCTTCTTGTGCTTTTACTCTGTTTTTACTCTGATACAAACTTGAGCTGCTCAGTCTTGATCTTGATCGATGTTTCTTCTGCTCGATGAATAATGTCTGTGAAGTGATGACGTATTTTTGACAGTAAAATTTCGTCTGTGAATTCGTATTCGTACTGATGAAAGTGTAATCGTAAATTTTCATTTGGTGATTGTAATTCATGACGTTGTAATTTTTCAATTCGTATTCTGATGGATAAAATACACACAATATATTTTATGTTCGACTGGACTCATTTGAGAGTTTACAAATATTTATTTTATGCGCAACTACAGCCAAATATGCACGGATTTCTATTTTATGCTCACGAATATTTTTGACAGCTTCTTACTCCATAGAACTTGTCCCAAATGTTGTGCCAATAAATTTCAACCTTAGTGAGTCAAAGCTGTGCACGTTTTCCAGTCCCAGATCTTCTCACATTTATGGGTTTAAATACAGTTTGTGTGTTCAGATCCAAGTTTATATATGATAGATTATAGATTGAAATATTGGTATTTTCTGGAATATTGCTGCTCGAACATGTGTCATGAGTCGATACTTTCCCCAACATCAGAGTTTTTTAGAGCAGAATTACTACAAGTGTTTTCTTTTCTTTGAGATGAAAACTCCAGAAAACCAGACAAAAGCCTCATGTGACCGAGAGCGCTGATAAAACTGCATATTTGTCCTTCTTCTGTTTGTTCTCCTCATACCTCTGCTCCTGCTCCTCCAGTCGACTCCACAACCTGCTCCAGTTTACTCCTCTGAACCTGCTCCTCTGAACCTGCTCCTCTGAACCTGCTCCTCTGGAATCTGCTCCTCTGAACCTGCTCTTCTGACTCTGCTCAGGGGTCACAGAACGACCAGTCTCTTCTCTAAAAGTTTCCTGAGGAAGCACTGCTCTCCTTTGGTTCCCATCAGGGCTCCTGTGGTTCTCCTTGGGCTCCTCTGGGTGCTCCTCAGACGGTAGCAGAGATGCAGCTGTGTGTTGCTTCGGTTCTGGGGGTAGGTCTCATTTTTATGAGATTTTCATGACTGATGTTCTTGCCTTATGTTCTTCTGTGAAGTCCTCATCTGATGTTCTGGTCTGGGGTTCTGTCATTCTTGTCTGATCTTCTAATGTTGTGGACCTCTGTACATCACAGTCTGACCCTGTTCTCTGTCTCAGGTGATGCAGGTCCTGGTGGAGCTGGTCTGATGTTCTCCTCTGTTGTTCTCCTCTGCTGTTCTTCTCTGATGTTCTTCTCTACTGTTCTTCCCTGGTTTTCTGTTCTTGTCTCAAGTGATGCAGATCTTGGTGGGGCTGGTCTGATGTTCTCCTCTGATGTTCTTCTGTGTCTCAGGTGTTGCAGATCTTGGTGGGGCTGGTCTGATGTTCTCCTCTGATGTTCTTCTGTGTCTCAGGTGTTGCAGATTTTGGTGGAGCTGGTTCTTCTGATGTTCTCCTGTTCTGATGTTCTCCTCTGATGTTCTTGTCTGATGTTCTCCTCTGATGTTTCTGATGTTCTGATGTTCTCCTCTGATGTTCTTGTCTGATGTTCTCCTCTGATGTTCTTGTGTGTTTCAGGTGATGCAGATCCTGGTGGGCCTGGTGAACGTGGGCCTGGGTCCTGGGCGCACTCACGTTCGTCCTGGAGACGTGGCGGGTCTGTGGGCGGCGTACTGGCTCGGCGGCGTCGTGAGTTTGTCCATTTCCATCTTCTGTTTGTCGAATTAAAATTTAAATTTAAATATTTCGTGTCGTGTTTCAGTTCACTGTGTCTGGAATCTTCACCATCGTCTCTGGACCCTGTCGAGCTCCATGTCTGGTGAGAACTTCCTCTCTCTCTCTCTCTACTCCTCACACTCTCTCCTCAGTCTCTCTCTCTTTCCTCTAGACTCTCTTCCCCCTCTGTTTTGTCTCTCTCTCTCTCCATCCCTCAGCCTCCTCAGACTCACTCTTTCTCTCTCCTCAGTCTCTTTCTCTTTTTCCTCTCTCTCTCTACACTTCCTCACTTTCATTTAGTCTCACTCTCTCTCTCTCCATCCCTCTGCCTTCTCAGACTCTCTCTTTCCTCTCTCTCTCTTTACTTCTCGTCTAGACTGCTCTCTCCTCACAAGATCTCTCTCTCTTCTTCCTTACATGCTCTCTCTTCTCAGTCTCTCCCTCTCTCCTCAGTCTCTCTTCTCTCTCTCTCTCTCCATCCCTCAGCCTCCTCAGACTCACTCTTTCTCTCTCCTCAGTCTCTTTCTCTTTTTCCTCTCTCTCTCTACACTTCCTCACTTTCATTTAGTCTCACTCTCTGTCTCTCCATCCCTCTGCTCCTCAGACTCTCTCTTTCCTCTCTCTCTCTCTTTACTTCTCGTCTAGACTCTCTCTCCTCACAAGATCTCTCTCTCTCTTCTTCCTTACATGCTCTCTCTTCTCAGTCTCTCCCTCTCTCCTCTAGACTCTCTTTCCCCTCTCCTCAGTCTCTCTTCTCTCTCTCTCTCTCCATCCCTCAGCCTCCTCAGACTCACTCTTTCTCTCTCCGCAGTCCCTTTCTCCTCTCTCTCTCTTTCTACTCCTCCTCACACTCTCTTCTCAGGCTTTTTCTCCTCCAGTCTCTCTCTTCTCTAGAGTCTCTCTCCTCCGTCTCTCGTCTCAGACTCTTTCTCTCCTCTTCTCTTCTGTCTGTTAGAGTAAGTCCTGTGCTCTGTTCAACCTGCTGGGGGCGCTCTTCTCCGTCGTCGGGGTGATGTTGTATTCTCTGGACTTGACTCACGTGTCCGTCGACTGGAAGTGTGACCAGAGCTCAGACGCCGACCCCTGCAGGGAGGTCGCCGCCATCGCACAGGTCAGTGAGAAAGACCCCCCCTCCCCCCCCGTGACCTCTGTGTGACCCCTGTGTGACCTCTGTGTGACCCCTGTGTGTGACCTCTGTGTGACCCTGTGTGTGACCCCTGTGTGACCTCTGTGTGTGTGACCTCTGTGTGACCTCTGTGTGTGTGACCCTGTGTGTGACCTGTGTGTGACCTCTCTGTGTGACCTCTGTGTGTGACCTCTGTGTGAACCCTGTGTGTGACCTCTGTGTGAACCCTGTGTGTGACCTCTGTGTGACCTCTCTGTGTGACCTGTGTGTGTGACCCCTGTGTGACCTGTGTGACCTCTGTGTGTGACCTCTGTGTGACCTCTGTGTGACCTCTGTGTGTGACCCCTGTGTGACCTCTCTGTGTGACCTCTGTGTGTGTGTGACCTCTGTGTGACCCTCTGTGTGACCTCTGTGTGACCTCTGTGTGTGTGTGACCTCTGTGTGACCTCTGTGTGTGACCTGTGTGACTGTGTGTGTGTGTGACCCTGTGTGACTGTGTGTGTGTGACCTCTGTGTGTGACCTCTGTGTGACCTCTCTGTGTGACCTCTGTGTGTGTGTGACCTCTGTGTGACCCCTGTGTGACCTCTGTGTGACCTCTGTGTGTGTGTGTGACCTCTGTGTGACCCTCTGTGTGACCTGTGTGACCTCTGTGTGACCTCTGTGTGTGTGTGACCTCTGTGTGTGTGACCTCTGTGTGACCTCTGTGTGTGTGTGTGTGACCTCTGTGTGTGTGACCCCTGTGTGTGACCTCTGTGTGACCTCTGTGTGTGTGACCTCTGTGTGTGTGACCTCTGTGTGTGTGACCTCTGTGTGACTCTGTGTGTGACCTCTGTGTGTGGTGACCCTGTGTCTGTGTGACCTCTTGTGTGTGTGACTCTGTGTGACCTCTGTGTGACCTCTGTGTGACCTCTGTGTGACCTTCAGAGGGCAGTGTTGTGGATGGACGTCAGTCTGTTGGTGCTGGTGGTTCTTCAGTTCTGTGTGAACATCAGCGCGACTGTTCTGTCCCTCACCACAAGAGACCAGGTACAAACGCACAACACACACACAACAACATACACACAACACACACAAACACACAACACACACAACACACACACACACACACACACACACACACACAACACAACACACACAACACACACACACACACACACACACACACACACACACACACACACACACACACACACACACAACACACACACACACACACACAACACACACACACAACACACACAACACACACACACACACACACACAACACACAACAACACACACACAACACAACACACAACACAACAACACACAACACACAACACACACAACACACACACACACACACACAACACACACACAACAACACACACACACACACACACACACACACACAACACACACAACACAACAACACACACACACACACACACACACACAACACACAA